GGGCCCATGCCCGGGGGGAGCGGGATCGGCCCCGCGGCGCGGCCCCGGAGGCCGCGGTTGGCGCTGCAGCCGAGCCCCGGGCGGCCGGCGGGGATGCCGCGGGGCTGCGGGGGGCGGCCGGGGGGGGAGCCGCGGCCGGGGGGCCGGTCCCGGCCCTGGGGTGAAGCTCAGCCAGCGGACCGGTCCCGGCCGTGAGGCAGATCCCGGCCGTGGGACGGATCATGGGGCAGATCCTGGCCGTGGGGTGAAGCCTGGCCGAGGGGTGAATCCCGGACGTGGGGTAAATCCCAGTCGTGGGGCACACCCTCGCCATGGAGCCAGTCCTGGCCATGGGGTAAATCCCAGTCGTGGGGCAAATCCTGGCCATGGGGTAAATTACGGTCGTGGGGTGAATCCCAGTCGTGGGGCAAATCCTGGCCATGGGGTAAATTCCGGTCGTGGGGTGAATCCCAGCCGTGGTGTGAATCCTGGCCGTGGGGTGAACCTCGGTCATGGGACAAATCCCGGCCGTGAGGCAGATCCCGGCCACGGGGTGAACCCCAGTAACGGGGTGAACCTCAGCCATGGGGCAAATCCTGGCCGTGGGGCAAATCCCGGCCATGGGGTGAACCCAAGCATGGGGCGAAGCTCAGCTGTGGGACAAGCACTTGGCTGGAGTTTCCTCGGTGCCAGCCCACGTCCCATAATGGGACCTTCGCCTGGCACTGTGGGTGATCCTCCAGCAGGTTGGTGAGGGTGTTTTTTGGCAAAGGATGTTTGTGGAGTGAGGGTGTGTTTGTGGTGAGGGTCACTGGTCTCACCACCTTTTCCTAGTAGTTTCCCAGTGGTCCACAGCAGTCCCGTAGGAGGAGGATGACAGCAACATCACCTGCAATAAAACCTGTGCTGCCAGTCCAGGCCACAGTGCTTGCAAATAGTAGAACACACCTGAACACTGAGTTTTTGTCCCAGTTTGGGATTTGGTTTTTAAACTGAAGCGCTGGTGGTAAACATGGCCAAGGGCTCAGTTGCTCCCAGCCGCACACCAGCTTTTGTCTGACCTTCTGGAGATCTTTAGACCAGTGGCTTTAATCGGGCCATTTTGGAAACTTTGAATAGGCTGAGTATTTGTTTTGGGGAGGTGCAGCTTCTCAGGAGCCGGCCTGCTGATAAAGATTCTAGGTGGCCTTGGTTAAGCGGGGAATTTCCTACAGTTAAATTCATACCTGTGCCCTCCCCTCTTGTGACACTCCCCCACCACCCAAAACTAACCTGGAGGGGAGAACACCCCACCCTGAAGTCACTCAGGGTGCGCAGACATGACTGATGATGAAAGTGATGTTCGTGCGTTTATTTTTAAAAAGACAAAAAATAGTACATTATTTCTAACAACAGTGTGACACAACCCAAGGAATTCCTAGAAGCTGTGTCCCGGTTTGGAGGGCCAGAAAGCTCTGAGGAAGGTGGAGCACGGCCTCTACAAACGCAGGACTGCCAGTGACTTTACTTCTGTGTTCTCCCTATGGAAAATAGGGAAATTTGTGCTGCCAAACGTCCCTCTGCCCCGTGCTGGACGGTTGAGGTTTGCTTTGTGCCGCGTGCGAGCGCCGCAGCCTGACCCAACTTCCTGGACGTAGCCCTTCTCCGTGGCTTTCCTTCCCCTCCCAGAGGGTGGTGGGAGGTTATTTCCAGCTTGATTTTATAATTTCTCTCCGGAGCAGACGGGCAGCGCGCGCTTCTGACATCTCGCTGCTCCGTGCTCTGGAATAATGATCCGCAGTATCGTGTGGACTCACCCCAACAGAACTTCTGCTCGAGCACCAACTCGGGCATTAAATCTCCTCCGGGGATTTTTGAAGATGTCAAAAGTCCTGTTACAGTTCAGCTGTTGGGTTTCACGGAGCGGTGGAAATTCTGCAACGCTCTGCTGTCTGCTAAACAAATCCCGTTAAACACTTTCAGTTTTGTTCCCTTCTTACTATTAAAAGTGAGGGCGGGCTGCTCCAAGTGCTGAAGTACAGCACAATTTAATTTATTCCCTTTTATCTTCCCTTCCTACGGGGGCTCTTCCTCCCTTAGTTTGTGTATTTAATTGAAGGATAAAGCGCAGTGTAAATGGCTCACAGGTATTGCCGCGTTCCTGTGCGAAGCCCAGTTTTCTTCCGTGCTTGGAAGCAAGAGATTCATGTGCCAGGGGTAAGACAGACTCCTCATCGTCAGACTGTTGGAAAAACACAGGCCTTTGCAGATCCATTTTAGTGGCTCCCGAGTTTCCCCCCAGGTTTGCACGGCAAACTTCTGCTGGCACAGCTCTGTCTGCGCGCGCGGTGCCGGAGTGTGACCCGTGACCGACAGAGCTGTGCCAGCAGAAGTCCCAGCTGCAGGAGCAGTTTATCTGCAGAAGTGCACTTTTACTGATAGAGCTTGTTTTCGTTTTTTAAAGGCTGTTTTTCCCTGTCTGCCAGTAGAGCACCGTGTTTCCAGGGATGTAGCGTGGTCAGGTGTTTATTTGCCTGGCTCGGAAGGGAAGGGACGGCTGCTCCGGGTGTATTTGCTGTGTGTGGCTCTCCTCTTCCTATCCGGAATCTGTAGGAGCTCCATCAGTTTGCAGTGGGAGTTCTCTTGTGGAAGTAAGTGATGTTACGGCTGCTTGTTTTCTTTTGGTCCAGAGGTGTTGGTAAAATTTCCATTTCATGTTAAAACTGGGATTATTTTCTTCCCACGTGGACTAGGGTTGTTTTCCATTAACATCCTTGGTTTTGCCAAAAACCCAGGCAGGCTTTTGACCAAGTTTAGCTTTCACACCAGTCTTAGGAGAAATAAGCCAGAAGGTGATCCCGAGGTGCATGTGGACTCTGGTAGGAAAATGAAAAGGCACCAGTGGAGAAAAATTAATTAATTTCCACACTGGGTAAGTCTCTACTTAATTTAAATCTAAACCACCAAGAATTAAAACTTACATTTAGATAGATCACAGCAGCTGCTGACTTTTTTGTTCAGACTCAATGTGCACAAGTGGGGAGGTGTATTTCTTTTTTTTTTGTTACTAAAACCTGCACGAGGTCATTCTGGTTTTAAGGGGTAAAATTATGTGTCTGTAACATGCATAATTTCTAAGCAAACTTCTTTGAACCGCCCCCCCAAAATTCTAAAAAATTATCAGAAGACACTTTCGGGTTACTTGAGTTTAAAAAGGGAGATAAATCCAAATAAATGGCTTGCTTACTGTTTATTGGAAGGAGCTTTTGGGATGCCAAAAGGGCACTCAAGGCATGGGATGTAACCCGATTTGCATACTACTGAAAAAGCAAAAGCAAGAGTGGAGCTTAGTTTGGGAGTGTAAGATGGCATTCGAGAAAACTTTAAAAAATAAGTTAAATTATGTCTTAGGCATATTTAGATTCAGGAGGATTTGCTGTGGATTTACTACTTTAGAGCATTAAATGCTAAGCCTCTTGTAATATTTTTTTTTGGTCCAAATTCTGTGGTTCCCTTGATGACAGGCTGTAATCAAGGCTTGGGTGCTGCTCACAGTGTAACTTCACCTGATTAATTCTTTGGGTTTCAGTGATTTGGCTGTGCAGCTTCTCCATCTCACCTGTAATGATAACCAAAAAAAAAGAGATACTGTTTTAGGATGTTTCTCTATCAAGATCTTTAGGTGGTGACAACAGTTCTGGAATTCTGCTGCTGCTCTCCTTCTGTGTCATAAAAGGCTTGTGTGAGGAGAGTTGAGAACAAGAAAAAGAATCCATCCCCCCTCCCAAAAAAAAACCTCAACTCAAGCTGAACTTACTCTGAATAATAGAGAGCAGTGGAAGAAAATCTCTCTGGAGCCCTGCTTAGAAGAAAAAGCTTTGCAGTTTCTTGGGCATCACCCAAAAAGCAACTTTAGGAGTGTTCAGACACCACCAGAAAGCAGTTTGACAGGCGGTCATTGAAACGGGATTAAAGATAGGCAGAAATACACTATATGGTGTTCTACAAGAAACACATTGTATCCCTTTCAAGGGGAGGTGTTAGACCATCACTCAGAAAAATGCTCCAAGGCGAAGAAAAATCAGCTCCAAGCAGTTGTAGCCACAGCTCAGGTGCAGTGAGTGAACAGAGGGATTTTGGAAGCTGCAGCAAGGAACGGGACAGAGCCCCACTGAGCTGTTGGGTGTCCTGGACACGAGTGGTTTAACTTCAGCTTGTAACCTGCACCTGTAAACAAGGAGCAGATAAGGCTGTGTGTGTGTCTACCCCTGCTTTGGCATTTCCTGATGTAAGTGATTAATGGCATTTATGATTTACCTGTGGAGCCTTTCCTCTTCCCAAGTTATGCACACACCTGTGGCTCTGGAGGCTGTGTTGGAAATGGGAATGCGAACCAAAGCTCCCGATTAAGTATCCTTCATCCACAATTGCTGCTGCAAGTCAGCAGCTCCCCACACTGCTGCTTCCAACTGCCTGGAAGTAAAGACCCAAGTAAACATCTGAAATGCTTTTTGTAAAAGCAAAAAAATATTTCTGGGCAGAGGCAGCTCTGCAAAGTGCAGCCTCGTGTTGCTGCAGAGGGACCCCCCTCTTTGCTTTGGTGTCAGACGTATTTTTTTTTCAGTCCATCGGATTTCACAAGTACAAAGAGAACTACAAAAACCATAAGCTTTTGGTCAAGCTGTTAATAATAATCGGGATTTGTGGATGGTGCTCAAGTTCACTGTTTACCCTCTAGGGCAGCTGAATGAATTGCTCGGGTAGTTTCCCCCTCGCTTTTCAGGAATGCTTCCATCTGAGTGAACATCTTTGTGCCTTCTAATCACAAATTAGTTTTGCTTGCTTTTTTTTTCCCCCTTCCTAAGAAATCAATCTAAAGGCCCTCTCAAAAGGCTCTGGCTTGGCTTTAGGAACAGTCTACAGAGAGTGCTGAAGACTTGCTTCTGCAGGTGTTTAGTTCTTCTTTTTTCCACGTGGAGAATATCCTTTGCTCTTCTCCCTGCTCCAGGCTGGGAGCTGGAGCAGAATTTAAACTCTCAGAAGGAAATGTGAAGGTGTCACCCAGTCATCCATGGGGATCAGCACAGACAGGAACTGCTGCCAGCCCTGTGGAACTGCCAGCCTTTCTTGGCCTTTCCCAAGAGCTGGTTCACTCTCTCCTTGTTGGAGCACGTATTGGAATGCACTGCTCAGCCCCTGCCCTCTCCAGGTAAAAGAAAACACTCCTTTCCACATTTTCTTGGCCTCATGGAACTAGCAGCACCGGGCAGGAAAAGGCCTATCGGGACAGTACTGAGAGGAGTCCCAGCAAACTTGCTCCTGCTTCCTCTATAGCTTAAAACTCAATTTCTCTTTCTTCTGCCCCGCTGATTTCCAGCTGGCCCTGGAAGGAGCCAGCACAGGATGAATTCCCCGCCTCGCCGAAATTTCCACTTGTGAACGCCTTTCCTCTGAAACCCTTTTTGTTTTGGAAAGTTAAGAAAGCAAAAGGAGAGCGGGGCCAGATGACTTCTCACATACCAGAACACAGTCCCAGGTGCCAGGAAGAGCCGGGTTCCCATTGTCAGCTGGCCCTTGGCTTGCAGTTCTTCCTCCAGCCAAATTGCATTTTACCACTGGGAGCAGTTCTGTCTCCAGGCACATGTTTGTACCTGTGCAACGAGCCTCTTCCTTCTCCTCCTTAGTCTCCAGCAAAAGACTGTGAAGGAGTGGAGTTCACCAAACAAATTAGGAATATTTTGAGTGGGTGAGAAAAGCACATCTATCAAGTATTTTGAGACCAGGAAGTCTGAGACTAGTCCTGTGCTGAACTGCGAGATGTTTTTCTGCTTGCTTCCAGGTACTGCCTGTGCAGGTAAAGGTGGAATAGTTCAGTTTTAAATCACTGGCCATTTATTTCATGGCAGGCCTGGACAAAACAACCCTGGACGTGTACGTGGGGAGATGAGTATAACTCACAAGCATTTTCTACTTGGAAAATTATGTGGTTTAAAACCTGAAGCTGTCAACAAGGCTTCAGCATTCCTGAATCCATACCTGCCTCTTGCACGTACCACTGGGGCTGTGCTCTTGCTCTATGCTCCATTTCTCTAAAGCAGGATGGGTTGGACTGTATTTCTCTTCCTTTCAGAGAACTCTGTGATTAACTTCTCACATGCCAGTATATTGAGAAATATCAGAAAACCAACCTGCTTGAAAAACTTCAGCAAAATTTGCCAGAGTTATTCCCTGGCTTTAGGTGAAATCCCTTTGGGTGGCTGAACAGAGGAACCCACACAAGTTCAACATCTCTTCTGGCACAGGTTGCCCAGAGAAGCTGTGGCTGCCCCATCCCTGGAAGTGTCCAAGGCCAGGTTGGACAGGGCTTGGAGCCCAAACCAGTCTGTGATTCTATTTGGAAATTTAAGTTTAAGTGTGGTGTAAATGCTCATGGGAAAGATTGGGATAATCAGATACAGAAGCAGCTGAACTGTCTTTCGATATCCAAATAATATGCTTTGCTCAGGCTATCAGACAAGCTTTTTTTTACTTCCTGGATTTAGAAAGCAAAGTACATTTAAATATACCCTATGCAGAACAGGGTTTATGCCTATAAACTGCTTTGTTTTAAACAGATCCCTTCTCTCTCTTATCCTGAGCATACAAGCCCAGCTACTTTGAGCACTGAGGCAGCATCCTGTGGCCTGTTCAAACTGGGCTCATTTATTGTGCCAACGATTGCAAAACAGTTTCCACTATTGGTGTGTACTTTTTCCTTTGGGTTATTTTTTTCTTTGTCCTCCTTTCTTTTAAAATCTTGACTCATCCAAACCTACCTGTAGCTGAACAGGGCAGGCCTTGTAACTTTAAAGCTGTCTGCAGTGAGTTTTTATGGTGGCAGGCTGTTAATTATTGCTGGGAAGAACAGATTGTGGGTGATAAGCTGGGCCTTATCTCTCGATCTTGGAGGGAGAGTAGCTGAAGTGTTGCTGGGCTTTGCTTATTTTGTGAAAGTGCTGGCAGCCTCCCACTCAAAGGGGAAGATATCATCGTGGCCGTGGAAATAATCTCATTTCTTTTCTCCTAGCACAAACTTTTCTTTGAGGGATGAAAGGTTATTGATGATTCCAGCTGTATTTTAAAGAAAGGTTCATTGAGAAGGCCACTCCCTCTTTACTGATTCATGATTCCGGTGGAGTTTTCCTCAAAAAAATCGGTCGATAGCTGACTCCTCTCCAGTTATTGATCCCGAGGAGTTGAATGAGACAAGGTGTTGGCTGGCAGCAACCTGAGCAGGGTCTTTGTCATTCCTAAGCGGTGACTGAATGGCTGTCAATAAAGCAGCTCTTTCCCTCCCGGCTCCGAGGGACTTTCACACACCTCTCAACACTTGGAGCTTACTCTGTTCTGGCTGCTGGGAGTTTTCTGTCTCCCCAGTCCTCTGGCTGTCAAACCAGTCCTAGGAAAACCTGCTTTAAGCTCTGCCCCGTGCCCACAGCCCAGGACAGCGTTTTGTCTTGATCCGGCACTGGCTGCTTCCCTCCCCACGCTCCCAGTGACTTCAGTTCCTAATCCTTTAAGCCACTCTGTCCTGGATCTCATTAGAAGCCCAGCACTCTCCAGGGGCTGGAGCAGCATTGCAAATGGGTCATTTCTCTGGAACACTGCAAGATACTCGCGTAAATAAATAAATAAATATACTATTTAAACCAGCCCCTTGGGGGCTTCTGATTAGATTTATTTACAGGCTGGCTGTTGAAACTCTTCTTGCTCTATAATAGCCCCTTGTCAGCATTTCTGTTAAGCAGAGCCTTACTTTTTGGGAGTGACCTGCCCTGTGTTTGCATGTAAACCAGCCCCAAGAGCTCCTCTGAAAGCATAAAAGTATAAAAGGCACCTGCAGACAAAGGCAGGTATCACTCTGTGACTTGGTGCAGATATTCAGGAGTTGTCATGCACACAATGAGAGGTAACTGGCTACTTCCAGCAGAGCAGAAACTGTGGAGTGAAAACTGAATGTTAACTAAGTAGAGAAATAAAAATTCCCTACGTAATGCCACGTAGTATTGCCATGCAGTAAATAGTTCAGCTGTTCTTGTAAGTGGGGGTGTGACACGGAGGAAGAGGAAGGGTGGAAACCTGGATATTGTTATGTCACCTGTGATTTAAGAAAAGAGTCTGTGCTTCATTTAGAGGAGATGAGGAAAGGGGGGAATAACTGGTGGGTATATGTCAGTAGGACAATTAACATTTCCATCAAGTGAGTGCCAGTTGGCTCTAGAATTAATCAAATACAGCTCGTTCCCTCCCTTCCCGCTCCTCCCCTTGGCTTTTGCTGGTTTTCTCCAGGGTTTGCTTCTATGACTGCTCTGTTTCTCTGGCCTTTTATGGTCTTTGTTGAAGTGAGAACAGGAAGCCCCCTGAGATCCCACCACTGCTGAATTTACTGCCAGCTGCAGGTTCATGGTTACCTCTTACCTGTCCCTGTTCCCACCACCAACTTTTATTTCCCTGTGCTCTGTGCCAGAGAGGATTGAGTCTGTTCTCTTCTCCTTCCCAGCACAAACATCCTGGCCAATTACACCTGAGAGGAACAGCTCTCCATCCTATCAGCACCAGTACAGAGATCCCCAAAAGTTTCAAGTTAAGGAATTGAAAGGCTGAACCTGAGGGTTGCAAAGATGTTTAACTCTCTTCCTGTTTGTAGGATACTTACTCATGGCCAAGGAGTCTCCTTTTATGTACTTTGATTATACTTTCCTCTAAGATCATTTGAAATCTCCTCAGAAATTGTTTTTGGTTTTTTTTTTAATTTAAAACCCACGAAGGGGCGTTTGTATTTGTTTCCCTGCTAATCTTTGCTCCCAAATAGGTTACTTGGAATAAGAAACTGAAAAGAGAGAGTTACCTGGGATGGTACACTCTGGGTGCTCGTTGGACTCCTGGTAGAGACAGCGGACACAGAGGTGGCTGGACACATTCCTGCAGGGAAGAACCATGAAGAAAGCTCAGATCCAAGCAAAAGGCTATCAAAATTCCCCACTCCCCACTATTTTCCTGCTGGTATATGCACAGTAGATACCATATATATGGATATACAAAGTAGTTTACCATAAGCTAACACATCTATACGTATCCCACTATTAGCAGTGTTTTTTAAAATCCCCCTAACATACCCTTAAAAAACCACCTTATCTTCCTGATTTTCCTTCCCCCCCCAGAGTACTTAAGCCAGTTTTTGTATTAGTGGGTATTGACTGTGCTTCCCATCTCCTTAGGGAGGCCAGAATGGGGAGACTTCTGCCACACACTCCTGAAAGCAGAGCACGCTTCGTGCAGACAAGAGCCTTTCTCCTCTCCCTTTGCAGCCGTTCGGGCCTGCTTACAAAACACGTAAACAGATATTCAGATCATAGATCAACAGATAAAAATGTTTTCCGGCTCCCAGTCCGACTTCCCAACGTTAAACAACACGTGCCCGTGTGTACACAGCCAGCAGGATCGGTGATTCCTGGCAGGGATCACCCTGTGGAAGGGGCTGGCCAGTGCAGAGGAAGGAGGAGTGATTCAGGCCTGTCTGCTGCATAGTTTTCAAAATGCTTCAGCACTTTGACTCATCCATACACAGAGGCTGGGGAAAAAAAAAAAAAGGATCACAAAGAATGTCACTCTGCTGGAGGGAGGGTTTGGAGTTGTTCCAGACATCCATGAGCACAGGGCTGCAGGGAGATGCAGCCACAGCTCTTTTCCATTTGCTTCCTCGTTAGAGACAGGCAATTCATTTATGCATCGAGGTATGAAAGAGCTTAAACAGAACGTGTTGTAGTCACTGTAATTTAAGAAATGCATCCTCTACCCTCCCTAGGGAAGGGACTGCTTGTCTGAAACCCAGAAGCTCCTGTTGTTTGTTGCCCAGAAAAACATACCTTCAGATTAAAAGCCTGTGGTGCAGCCTCGCAGCTCAGCCTTTCTTCTTTGACACTCCACACCTTCAGTACTGTTCCATTATGCCTTTTTTTTTTCCAGGCTTTAAATGATAGTCAGCGTGGACCCAAAGACTTATGTTAGGAACCCCCAGAGCTTAAATATTGTTCTTACTAATGCACTGATGTTGTCAACCTCAGGTTTTCTTTAATTTACACAAAATCAGGAAGAGATTTTGTGTTTGATTTACACAAAATCAGGATCACACTATACATTTACATGACTAGATCTGTAGCAGAGAGCAGGTTTTAGAAGTCTGAAGTTTTCCAAGGCGAGCCTTTAGAAGAAAAGCCAGCAAAAATTTGCACTCATGCACATCTGATTTTGGGATTAACTGATTCAGGGAACTCAGCGTAGCTCCCTGAAGACTGAGCAAAAGCAGGCTGGGATTTCTGGATATTGTTTTAGTTTCAGGACAAGCAGGGTGGGAGATGGGAACGAGGCAAAATTCGTTTTTTGCCTAAAAAAAGAAATACACATGGTGGCTTTCAAGTCTTGCTCAATGTTCCTGTTATGTAGAAGAAAAAAAAGTATATTTGATTTAGGTTTGTTTTCCCTTTTCTGTAACTGTGGCAATGACACTGCTGCCTGTTTGACTCACTCAAAGCCGTATTAAAGTGAGTAACAGCTGAAAAATGTGCGTGTCTTTGCCTCACAGCTCAGGGCTCATTT